CCTCTAGCGAGTTGTGTCATCGCTGGGTCTTTTGCGAGTATGTCGAAGAGTGTAGCTGGTTGTGTGTCGAATGCAATTGCATCGATAAGAGCAAATAAGAATTTCTTGAGGAAATAATTTGGATGATTTGAATTTTCAGTGCCTTTGAAGACGTAGCTATGGCGACGAGTATGCCACCATACTGCTGTCTCAAATGGCGAAAGCAAACATGAGCTAAACAAATCCCATGGTGCATCTGTTGAAATTGGAAGAACTTCATTAGGAGAACATGCGAAGAAAGCGATAACATCTTGTTTCTTTTGTAAGAAGGGCAAGATATTTCCTGCTGATGGACTATCAACAATGAGACAAAGAGGAGTTGGACAAATGTTCATCAAAGTCTCGATTTTCATTGGCTTATATTTCGAACGATCGTCTGAGAAGAAGAAAAGACTACCATCAGCTGTAGGCGGTAAACAGCCTTGACCGAAGTAATGAATGATTAATCGTTCTGTTTTTGCGTTTTGACTGTAAATTTTAATAACTTCGCTGATTTTATTGCCAGGAGGATCAACGAAGTTATTAAAATTTACAGTCAAAACGCAAAAACAGAACGATTAATCATTCATTACTTCGGTCAAGGCTGTTTACCGCCTACAGCTGATGGTAGTCTTTTCTTCTTCTCAGACGATCGTTCGAAATATAAGCCAATGAAAATCGAGACTTTGATGAACATTTGTCCAACTCCTCTTTGTCTCATTGTTGATAGTCCATCAGCAGGAAATATCTTGCCCTTCTTACAAAAGAAACAAGATGTTATCGCTTTCTTCGCATGTTCTCCTAATGAAGTTCTTCCAATTTCAACAGATGCACCATGGGATTTGTTTAGCTCATGTTTGCTTTCGCCATTTGAGACAGCAGTATGGTGGCATACTCGTCGCCATAGCTACGTCTTCAAAGGCACTGAAAATTCAAATCATCCAAATTATTTCCTCAAGAAATTCTTATTTGCTCTTATCGATGCAATTGCATTCGACACACAACCAGCTACACTCTTCGACATACTCGCAAAAGACCCAGCGATGACACAACTCGCTAGAGGATTTATTTTATCAATGCGCATTATGCAAAGCTTCAATTTACATCCAATCTCAATTCCAGAACATCGCCCTACATCAAGCCATGATCTATGGCTCTTCTGGGACACAGCATTAGATTGTTCACTCGCAATGTCCGACCAAGAAGCTGCTACGATGATTTTCCAGATGTTCATCAAGTCATTCAAGTCATTCCCGACTGTCGGAGTCATGCCAATCTTCTCATTCTTCATTACAAGAGCAGAATTTTGCGAAGCAGCAGTTTCAACACTCTGCGACTTCTTGGATACACATGGAGACTTGGCTATCTACGCTCCCCGCTCAAATATCGCAAAGACGATCATAGAAATGGACAAACCCTCAGAATCCGCAATTCTGTTGTTGGCAAAAATTTTGTCGATATCGTCCGGTACGGGCGCGATGTCACCTTTTCAACAACAATGGCTATTCTGGTTCCAAGACACTAAAGAGTCCAGTGTCTCTGAAATCAAGGCTGGAATGCTTGCCATCATTTGCGCCATCTCATGGAACTTCCTTTCGATATTTACAAAGATTTGGAACGTATGCGTAGAAAAAGCTCAAGAATGCGCCCCATATTCATCGATATTACTTGGATTACTACTCGGATCCGCTGGAAGATTGATGAATTTGCCTCCTTTCGGACAGAATTTTTACCCACTCCTCGATAATTCATCGTATTTCATCAGAGCATCGACAGTTTTCCTATTGGGAATGATGAAGGATAGGAATATGCTCGATAAACTCTTTGAAATGCTTGAAAATGACGATGAACCAATTGTTAGACAGCAAATTGTTGTTTCTCTATCAAGAATTCAGCAGTACAAGCATGACGATGCTATTCTAGATAACTTAAATAAGATAAAAGCTACAGAAAAAGACGAAGAAGTCCTTAAATTAATAAATTTGGCTCTTGAAGGTAAATATGATGAAGTTCAAGAGGAATGTAGCATCCTTAAGATGGTTATAGAAGCTGTTAAATCGAATGGCTTCATAGAGAAGTACTACTGTGGAACAATGATTTGATTTATCTTATTTGACTTTTTTTTAACACTATGTTTCATTTTAAATTGTTTATTTTTTGTTCACATACAAATTTTGATATTTTAAAAAACATATTTCAATATTTAACTAAATCATCACAAAATACTAGGTTTATCAAGTGTGTTTCGTCATTATGTGTAAAAAATCAAATGATTACCCTTAAAAATACTTCTGTTAAAAATCATTTCAAAAATTATACTTAATATTGATAAAGTATGAACATAAAAATGCTCAATATCCAATATAGAAGAAGTTTTATGGTAATGATTTTCTCCAAAAAAGTTTTGAATCCATTTTTATGGTACGAAAACAATAGAAGATGAAGTTCAAATTTTAGAATTTGAATTTTTTTTGGAAAATTTATTATTAAATTTGAAATTTCCATATCTTTTAAATAAAATATGGAAATATTAAATCAATGTAATAAATTTACAAAAGACACATCATTAAATTTCATAATAATATCTTAAAACTATTCATGATTCATATTTCCATCCATATAAATCATCTAAATTATCATTAATACTGTAAAGTTTTGGACCTAAAGTTAATATCAAATCTATGCCTCCTGTTATTCAGTTAAAATACATTGATTTCTTAAATTCTATTCGATTCTCAATAACAGGAGGGGCAAATTGTCAAGAAAGAAGAATATCAAAGAAAACTAATGAGGTGAATCGAAAATATTTATTCAAATAAGATAATGAATAGAAAAATAAGACAAAATAAAAAAATTATAACAAAATTATTGATGAATTATTTTTGTGAGGTTGGTAAAGGCTTCTTTAACTGTCATGTCAGGCTTTAATTCTTTAATGCAGTAGTTTACAGCATTCTTGAACTTTTCTGCTTCTTTGAAGCTTGTAATATAAGGAGAAGTGTAGATTCTGGCCCTGAAAATATCATTAACGAGTGTTGATGATATTGACATTCCTCCTGGTGGATAAGGACCTTTGCAAATTGAAGTTGCAATTTGAGCATCAGTAATATCGCCTCCTGTAGTCATTTTACCAATGTTTGTAACACTTACAGAGCCAGTCATTGCTGGTGGATATGTTCCTTTGTATAAATGATTAATAGATCTTAATGCTTCGCCATTCTTTAATTTTTCTTGCATATCCTTACGGAGTAAAGCACCCAATTCATCAATAGTCAATTTAGCATACTTTGTAGCGATGTTTGTATGTGCATCAGCAACAATTAAACTATCAATGTTGCAATGACTCCAATCTGGGTTTTTCATGTATCTTCTGGCATCAACAGCAAGTTGGCTGGCAATAGAAGTTAACATTTTGTTGTATGCTGAAGCAGAAAGTGTTGCCGCAAGCATCATTTTTTCTGTAACTTTCGACATCTTTTCTTTGATTGGAAATTCAATCAATGTGTAAATTGCATATTCCTTTTCTTGTTTCTTGCGATAATTTCTGATTGGAGTAGTCATCGTTGAAATTTTGCCATTTGCGTTAGCTAATTGATCAGAAAGTGCATCAATTATTGATGTATGGATTTTGGCTTGAGGATCTTTTGGTGTTTCTCGTCCACACAAATGATCCAAAAGCATCTTCATGTATCCGCCATCTGATGACGAATGATTGCAATTAAATATAACTGTGTCCTTATTATAGCATATTGATGCTAAGCGTGTTGACTCAGGAATTGTATAATTTTTGGCAACAAATTTATTTGCTTCTTCTAAATGAGGAAACTTATCAGGAATTTGATAAGTTGGACATGGCTGATCTGTGTAAACATAATTCTTACCATCAAACAATGTTCGACAGCCTATGCATTTTTTAGAAATTTCATTGACAATTTCTGAAACTTTATTGTTCTTTACCTTAACAGCAAGCTGAACATAGCATCCAACAGATAATTGGAGCTTTTCAAAAGCATTAGGAAGCATGGTTGATGGCCCAATCATCAAAAAAGAATAAAAAAAAATTGTTGATGGTATTCGATCAACAATTTTATCGCAGATATCCATAAATTCTCTTCTTCATGCGAGCAAGAGGTTATTCAAAGCTAATCATAAAAATTTTGAAATTTTATCGAAGATATTAATAAACATTTAGGTTAAGTGTAAACAAAAAGTAGTAGAAACTTAATAAACAACTATTCTTAATCATCTTATATTGAAACAACACGCCATATTTGATTGAATCTTCCATGTTTTGGAAATGGAATGATATCTGTATCTTGGACTATTTTTTCTGCCCTAATATCAAGAACTAAGCCATTGGCATTTGAAATAGTACCGTCAGAATTTATATGATAAATTTGTTTGCTATCGCTAGTCCTTGGGGTGAAAACAAGGGGATCTTCATTTGTTAGTAAATGACCTGTTTTAAGAGAAATGATGTTATTGTCTTGAATAAGGAATTGTTGGTTTATTGTGTTAATATAAGTACCAAGAACAGCTTTTTCAACGCCATCTGGGCCAATCTTCACTGACAAACAAAAATCTGGTCGAGAACTGCATAAGATTGAGCATCTCATGATAATATAAAATATGAAATTGAGAAAATTTTTGTTCCGTACCGAAAAGGGTCACTAGAAAAAGTGACAAAAAGTGACACTTACTCTTATTTTTCGCGCCAAAATTCGAAAGGGTTTTTAATATAATAATTATAATATATAAGGAATTTTATTAAAAATATAAAAAAAAAAAAAAAAAAAAGGTAGTGGGGCTTCCAGGCACTTCGTGCCCTCTAGCCCATAAGAAATTTTGCCCAAGACCAAAGAGGAGGACCGTAGGGTGTATGTGTGGGCTTCCAGGCGCGTTGCGCCCTCTAGCCCATAAGAAATGTTTTGTCACTTTTCTGTCACTTTTCAGGAAAAAAACATTTTTATTATTATATATAAATGAATTTTACAAAACCACCGTTACCGTTCTTTGGAAATAAGAGTAGATGTAAAGATATTCTATTGAGAGAACTTAAGAAACTACCGAATGGTCTAACATTTGTAGATTTGTTCGGTGGAAGTTTCTATATATCCCATTTGTGCCATACAATATTCCCAGACTCAAAGATTATATGCAATGACTTCGACAACTATATGGACCGTCTCAAACATATTCCAGACACAAACAATATATTGAAAGAGTTAAAAGAAAAGATACCTATAGGTAAGATGGAACGTATACCATTAGATAAGAAAAATATTGTGAGAGAGGTTTTGAAAAAAGCAGAATATATAGACTGGAATAGTATATCTGCTAGATTATTATATAGTGGTGCTATAAGAGTTCATGACATTGAAACACTTATGTCAAAAGTTTTATAGGACGGTTATTTTACAAAACTAACAACACTTTGACCGAGTAGTTTTTTGAGCTGAACAAAAAGTGTCATATAAACATCTGTCAAAAACCGCTTTTTAACTTCACTTAAAATGCCACGTAAGCTACGTAAGAATATACGTAAGAGGAAGGGAGCATTGAAACATCCAATAGTAAAACTGACACCACAACAACAGTTGCAACAACAAATGATGAATGACCCCACTATGTTGCAACAAATGTCAAGCAACCCTATGCTTTTAAACCGAGTTATTGGTGCACAGAGTGGAGGTTTAAGAGCGGCACTTTTAGCGAAAATGGCAGGCTATGGTGGAGCTGCAGACGGAACAGCTTATAACCCTCAAAGTCAAATGAATTTGAGTTCACTCAAAAATCAAATAACAGATGTCAAAAAGTCAAACATAGACATACAGAAACAAATAAATGAAAATGAAAAGAAACTAGAATATGACAGACACACAAAGAAACTAAATGAGTTAAACGTAGAGAAAAAGAAGAAAGAAGAACAACTGAAAGAACTAAGTACAGAGGAATATGCGAAAAAAGTGTCAGAAAAAGCAGCAGAAGTAGCAAAAATGGAACAAGATGTTATAAATTTGAAAAACCATACTACTCAATATAAAGTACTGAAAGATGAAGAGATAAAACAAAAAGCCATAAAGACATATATGGATAGCGATGAGTATAAAAAAGAAGTTGAAGCAAATGTAAAGGCAGAAAAACTTTTACAGTTGCAAAACCAAACCGTACAGTATGAAAACTTAGCACTAGAAAGTAAAAATAACGACGCAGCCATGCAAAAGGCAATGAAAAGCGCAGAATATATAAAAGCTAATAATGACTGGTTAGATGCCCAAGCCAACGCCAAAGCAGCACAACTTATAGGGTCAATAAGGACAAAAATACAAGCGGATGAAGACAGTTCAAATGAAGCTTTAATGAATGCTGACTTTAAGAATGCCTTCGAAGCTCTTCATAGTAAGGTGAAACTAGTGAACGACTTCTCATCTGGAAAGAAACTGAAGTCTGAAAGTTTCGACAAAGAGTTAAGAGAAGTAGCACAAAATATGACGAAAATAACAGATGCAGCAACGAGACAGTCAGTTCAAAGTGCCTATGACGCCGTTAGAGCAGCTGTTGTGGAAAGTCAAGAAAAAGAGTTACAACAGACCAAAACAGACCTAGTAAATGCTTTCTTAAAAACGAAAAGTCAGGTAGGACATTATGCTGCAGATGGAACATATGTGCCAGCTGGTGGAACTTATATACCACCAAACCCTCCAAGAGAAGCACCTGCACCAGGACTACCTAAAACATTTACATCGTCACATGGACACAGACACAGGCATGCACCACAACAACAACCAACACAACAACCAACAGTTCAAAATCCAGCACCACAACAACAACCAACACAACAACCAACAGTTCAAAATCCAGCACAGCAACCAACAGTTCAAAACCCTGCACAGCAACCAACAGTTCAAAACCCTGCACAGCAACCAACAGTTCAAAACCCTGCACAACAACCAACAGTTCAAAACCCTGCACAACAACCACAAACAGAGCAAGGACATAAAAGAAGTAGAGAAAAAGGAAACCAAGAATTCTTAAAAATGCTTAAGGAAGATTATGGTTACCCAGATACTCTTGACTTTAGTGACAGATATAAAGAAGCTATTAGAAAGTTCAAGGAAGGAAATACTGACCCGAACCTATTTAGCTTTATGGTTCAGCATAAAATCGGATATAATCTCAAACCTGGAAAATACAAGCTCGCAAAGGGATATGATTTAATAGCATATCATCCAAATGACATGAATGAATTTACTCCGAGATATTTTATGTCAGAGCTAAATGATAATTCAACTCTCTTCATGAAACGCGTAAAAAATAGAGACGGAACGAAAGAAGAAAGGTTTATGAGTCCGAATGACTTAGATAGGGAACTTGTTAAAAACGGTCTCGGAATATATGAAATGCCAGCAGATGAGGTACAAGAAACTCAACAGGAAGAAGTTCAGATACAACCAGACATGGAAGAAATAGTTCAGCAACAACAGCTAGAAGAGCCTGAAGGAAACGAACAAGTCCCTCCTTTGGAAACCAACGTCACAGAACTAGATGAAGATTTGGAACAGCCGAAAAATCTTGACCCTCAACAAGAGTATGAGGAGAATATGGAATCTTTCCAAGAGTATAAGAAAAATTCGGCTGACATAGTAGAAGAATATCGAAAAATGTTCACCGACATACAAAAGACTCCAACACCAGATGAAAATATTCAGCATAGAATGGAAGTACTGAAAGAAAATGTACGCAAATACAATAATCCTTTTTACTTACGACCATATAACGTTCAATCTTTGGCTGAACTCGGTGAAAATAAAAGGTTAAATTTCAACAAAACATATAGAAATGAAACATTGTTTAAAGTTCATTCAGAACCTAACCAATATGGAAACAAACCTACTTTTGTTTCTGCAGACTATGGAACTACAATGAGATGGGGTCATAAAGCTAATCCGAATAGGTGGTTCATAAACTTACAACCTCAATTCCAAGAAGTTGTAGACGCAATGGAAGTGAATGGTGAACCAGATATAACTGGTATTTTCAGCGCGGCTTTAATGCCATTGAAAGATATGAAAGATGCAGATATTTTGGACCAGTATGAAATGAACATGGCTGAGGGAAATATAACACCTGACGTTCTAGAACATTTATCTCAAAGAACTACACAGAACCATAGAGATGGTATATTTGGTGAAGAGTTTAGAAAGAAAGTTAGGGAGAGAGAAGGAAGAGAACCTATTGTACATGACCTTGCAAACGAAAGTTTGCAAAATGTCATAAAAACTTACTTTGCAGACAATGAACCGAGAAGGGATGAATATTTAAGAAAACTCAAATGGACAGTACCAAATGAAATGTTAGTATTGAAAAACATGTTCCATGACAAAATAAAACCAACTACAGAAATAAATGACGCAAGACTGAAACGTTGGGTAAAAGCTTTCCCATTCACAAAAGATATTATTGGTTACATGGAAAGAAAACCAGAATGGCTACAAAAACATATATTTGGAAACGAGCTTATTCCATATGGACAAGCTCTGTTTGAAGAGCTTGAACCAGAAACTCAGGAAAGAGTCATGCAAACAATAAAGGAAGACTCAAATACAAACTATGACAAAATCTTTCTAGGATATAGGTTACCTGAGATGGGCGACCAGAGCCCAAAGGCAAAAAGGACATGGGAAATTTACAACATACTAGGTGAACATGAGGCAAAGATGCTACAACTTGAAGCAGAGGGCAAGTTACCAAAAGCGACACCAAAGAAGAAGAGAAAGTGGTGAAAGTAGTGAAGAAGTAACTTCATCTAGTGAAAGTAGTGGCAATGAAGGAAAAAGAAGAGTTAAAAACTCAGTCAGGAAGAAATTAAAGCTTGGTCCGAGTGGGTTCTATTATGATATATAAATCCAACTATTCTATATTTTTACCCATATGAAATGTACGCCGCTCAGAATATAACGCCAACAGTTTTGGATGCCATGAACGGAAATGTTTCCGAATGGTATAACGAATGCGACAATGCCATTAGAAGGTCAGAAATAGTTCCTGGAACTTACGAATATACAACTGCTGTTTCTTATGGAAACGTAGGTGAGTTTGGAGAAGGTTCTTCAACAACAGTAGATATTGCTTGCGACAGGTTTCACATTATTTCTATTGACAACTCATTCTTATACGTGGAACAAGACATTGAAATAAAACCTTCTGCCAAGTTGTCTGATAAGAAAGGTTGCAATGGTATTTTCTATGTCGGATACCAATATGCTCCAGAAGTTTTCATGGGATATAAGATATATTCTAACTCTGACTTAGTTCAAACAGTAACATGGGCAAACTATGAATGGTTCGCTTTGAGAAACTCAGTACAACCACAAGCTAGAGAACAAACAGACCAGTATGCCACCATTGAGAAAATAAGAAGACTTGACCCTAACGTTCCAGGAGTTTATGTTAACCTTTCTGGTTCAGATGGAACTGCTGCCACTAAAGTAAAACTGAAACTTAGAGTTCCTTTGTCATCTTTCCTCATCTTCAGGTTTTTAAGATACTTGCCAAACTGGGCAGGAAAAATTTCTATCGAACTTACTCCAAGCAAAAATAACTTAGTCATTGCACCAACACAAGACCCATTCACTATTGAAGCCAAAGCAACAGCTAAGGAAACATTCGCTGCCTTTTGCAAAGACAAAGTTGACTTAGACTTTGGTTTCTCAAACTTCAACAATGAAGTAAACTACTATATGAAGGATAATGCTGGTGCAAACGTATGGGACCCAGTTAAGTTCACATGCGAAAAATTTGAATGCAAGAGAATAGAAAGCAGACTTGCAGTCTATATGTTGGACCCAGATATTTCAAATGCTTTAGCTGCCAAATATATTGCAGTTCCACTTATGTTCCCTATACACCAAATATCTGTCAAAGACTTTGCAGGTGAAGTTGGAAACCAAAATCCAGGAGCCGCAGGTGCAAGAACAGATATTGCGTTAACAACTGCTATGAAACATGCAGATACTATGTTTGTACTGTTCAGACGAACTATAAATGACTATTCTTGTTTCTACAACCCTGGTATTAAATATCATATAAACATAGATGGCAAATATTATCCAAGAGAAGAATATTCTACAGTTGAGGATATGAGGTCATACAACTTGACATTAGATGCTATGAACTTTAACAACAACTTCACAACGACCATTAACCCTGAAATGCAAAGTTCTATTATGCCATATGTAAAACTATGGACTCATACAGGAGGTCAAAAAACTCAGTATACAAACGGAGATAAGTCAAACTTTTGGATTGGTATCCCATTTGCTGACTCAGAAGACTTTATGGGTGGTATTTCAACTGTTGGTACTGTACAAATACAATATACTGGTGACAGAGACGGTCCAGATGA